ACACACACACACACTTACCTTGCCCTTGACTGTGGCGTGGCTCAGTGATATTAATGTTTATGTTAATTAGATCACACCAACAAATGATTACATTTCCAGACAGGGTTATTGTAAGACTGTAGCCACTAGCTTATTTTACCCAGTGAATGCAATTTAGAACAGATGTAATTGTATAAATGCATTGTAATTGCATAAGGAAACAACAATACCATTATGAATATACAATCTCTGTGAACATGATGTGTGTTGTGTGTGTACAATATGAGCTAGAGGAAGAGCGATTGCGCTGCCCGCTCTTTTCATTTGCACCCATCAGGTTACTCTTGTTTCTTTGTAGGAGTTTCTGTCCTACATGGAGTCACATCGACAGAGAGGCCACAGCATGTTTGAGAATATGAGGACAAACCACTTACAGGTTTGACAGAAATGTTACCATGAATATACTGAAATTAATGTTATTAAAAAGCCAAAATTGCATCTGTAATAATGTTTATTTCTGTCTCATATATTCCCATTATCCCGGGACTGTTTTTGCACCCCAGTTACAAGCCAGTGAGTGGGAGCGAGTGAGCTCTATATGGCTGCATGTGGAGGCCGAGCTGCTGCGGGAGAGAGCTGTGTTCGGCCCTGGCCCTGGGGTGCTACTGAGCAGAGACTGGGTGCAAGAAGCTGCCGAAGGACCCAACAGGACCAGAGTACGCATCCGCAGGAAGGCACTGAGACGATCCAAACGGGTATGGCCTTTAAGTTTAGAGTGGGATCAGTGGTGCTGGGTCCTATTTAGTGCTCTAACTGCAGTCTACTAACAGTGTCCTATGTTGTTATAACAGGTGCAAGGAACACTGTGTTTGGGTTTAAGGATCAGCATGGCCGAGGAGAACAAAAATAAAATAGAAGGCGACCCAGGTAAATAAAAGTGTTGCCAGTTGATTTTTTTTAAAGTGTACTGAAACTGGGTGTTGGAAGTAAGCTCAGTGGGAAAATGTGTTTCCTTTGTAACAGAGCCCAAGATCCTATGTGAAGTTGGTGCAGAGGCTAAAGAGGATGAAGAGGAAGGAGGACAGGATTGTAACCGTCTGACCTTCTTCCCTGTTCTGAATGAAACCCCTGCTGTCACTGAGGGTCCACACGACCCCTTAACCCCTGAACCCTGCTCCCACACACAAGACTGCCCCGACATACGCATCATCCTGCAGGAGCTGCACCCTGCAGCAGAGGTACTGTAGCACAGGAGGGTGTTTAGACATGCTGGGCTAAAAACAACATGCCTAAACACAAGCACATCTCCTTCTCACCCTGCTTAATATTCACAATCATAATTATCTGATGTAGACTAAGGGATTCCAATAGCCCAGCGCTGCTATCAGAATTTCATCTTTCCTCATTAGTGTAATGTTTTAATGTCGAGGCCCAGCTCAGCTCTTCTCATTCTTCCAGTGAGTTAGAAACCAAGGCACATGTTGACAGGGACTCTCATCGCTCCGGCAACCAGCCGCGGCTTTTAATGTTTCTGACAGAAGTATTAATAAAAACAGTAGGAGGTGATGCAAGCTGTCTTACATCCGCTTAGTAAGTGTGTGATGTGTGCAAGTGTGTCCTGTTGTCTTGCAGTGGTTCAGTGTGTGAGTCCTGCTGAGCTTCCTGTCAAATGAACACAGTCATTAGCTCTGAAAAATGCACACACACACGGACTAACACACACATAGTAACACACAAAGGGAGACCCACTCATAATTAGCTTGCCAGCGCCAATAGTGTGATTATGACAGTAATGTGTGTGGGGAGAAATCAATGGTCTGACATTAGGCTCTTAGTCAATAAAAGTCCTCCTTTTCTCTCCTTCTTCCCATCATCAGCTAAATCACCCACAGACTGATAACACATATCTGTCCAGAGCACAGTAAGGAGATAAGGAAACAAGTTTATTGTTATGTATTTAATCTTTGATAACAATAAATTTAACTAGTTTTTTTTTTCTGAAATCTAGTTATTGTTAGGCACAGTATGCATGATGCCCGTTAGTGTTCACTGTGGAAACTGCCACAAAATCTGACCATGATATAGCTCAATGTGAGATTTCTGTGCCATGTAGCTGAGACTCGCTCACCTTGACGCCTGTTAAACGCTTTCACATGACAAGTGATATTATGCATCATAGCGTATCTCTGTGTGCATTTAGACAAGAGGTTCTGATCACTTAGCAGGTTTCCTATTGTGTGTGTGGCAGTGATTAATTCTCCTAATAATGGCCAGACAGGGCCTCCTCCTGCACCAAGTATGTGACTCTGTGTCTGGGGGTAGGGAGTCTGATTTGATTAGTATAAATTGTGAGGGGCCTGCGGGTATGTTGGGGCCCCATATGGTTTTTGGGCGCTGTGTCCCAGAGGGCCGGCAGAGGGGCCAACGCAGAGAGACAGCCAGGTGCACACACTCACTGTGAAATGAGGGGAGACAATAGAATTAGCCACACATTATCACAATGCAGTTAGCATTAGCCACAGCCAGCGCTGAAAGCAGCATGTGGGTCCACTTTGGCGCTGGATGAGACACGCACACGACGGAAAAAGGGGCAGGTCCTTCTCCTCCCCATCAATCAGCTCTGATAATGAAGTGTTCAACTGTGTCTTTTTAATAATGATTAAAATATGTGATTAAAATGATCAATCAAGGAAAGCCTGAAGTGCCTGTGTTGCTGCCATGTCATGTCCCGGGAGAGAAATGTGCTGATGTGTATTGTGCCTCTCACATGGGGCTTAATGCATCTCTCTTCTCTCTCTCTCTCT